GAGGTATCCTCTTTCAGGTATCTCGGCGTTACTTTGTCCTCAAATCTTTCTTTTTCCCTCCATATTGAGTCCCTATTTATTAAAGTTCGTAAACTTCTTTACTACATTCGTCGTTTGCGTTCCTACCACACACCTCAACCCTCAGTCTGGCGATTCATTGATGCCTGCATTCTTCCCCTTATCCTATACTGCTCTCCTGTCGTTTTTCCTGCTTTGTTAAAAAAGGATCTTTTAATTTTGAAATGAATCCTCCGCATGCTCTCTTCTGCTGCTGGCGTTTCTTATATTTTTTTTAGTTGACACAATCTTACAACGACACTTCAATGCGGTCAAGCAATTTGCTGGTCGAATTCTAGATGACGTTGCCCATCCCCTACATTCCGATCTTATGGCTGCCAAGTCTTCCCGCCCGATGCGCCGCAACTTCCGCCTCATACCTTGTCGCACATCGGCTTATCGAGCCTCAGTATTACCATTCCTAGCGCGCTATCTTACGTGCGAAGAGACAGAAATACAGAAGCTCAGACTTGAACTATCCCCATAATAATCGTTTCTTTGACTGTTGAATAATCTCTTAACTTATTTACTACTCACAGTGAATGGAGCCAATTTTTTGTTGAAAATTATGAACTTACGATTACAAAATAAAGCGCTTTTCCTCCTTTCCTCCTCCTCCTCCTCCTCATTTGCACAATGAATGGTCAGATAAGTTCAGAGATGAACTTGAACGTAAATCGGTGCGCGAAATGCATTTCCTGATCGGTTGTCAGAAAGAGCTCCCAAAAGTTGTTCCTTCCTGCCTCGATGTAAAGCCTTGCAAGCAACTAACCAGCACAGGCACCCAAACGTATGTGCCTACAGGCAAACAGGGAGACTTGTCTGGTTGATGACGACTGACGGGCCCGAAATGGCCTTTTCAATCTCCCCTGCCTTAGTTAACAATCTCCTTCTAATTATATCGGTACAAACGTATCATCATTGGCAGGTAAAATTAACAGCGTTGCGCCATTTTTAACATGTGATACTCGGAATTTGCTGTCCGTTATTTCATCAGCATTCATATCGCGCCTGTGTTCCAACTTTTGATCATCACATAAATTAACAATGGCGACAAACTAATATGGGTGCCCGAATAAGGATTTAATTGTACAAAATAAGGCATTTGTTGAGCGGCTGCTATAGTTAGTCGGTGGATTACAGACGATAACTGCCCAAAGGTCAGAGCACTAACAGGTACAACCTTCTCTAATTAAAACTATCGCAGACTGCTGCCTATTATGGGTGTTCTCATTCGTCCAACAAGTACTTCCATCAGTATTGTTTCTGGCTAACGTCGTACTGGGCATGCGATTGTCGTAGAGAATCACTGAATTGTTAGTCGGATCTGCTTCTTCTCGATTCTTTAACTTTAAATACTTTCGTTAACATAAGGGGGAAATTTAAACGTCTCACTGTCCAGTGAAACGTGCCAAGAAATGTTGGCGCGATTTAGACTCATCAAATAAAGTTTTATCTTTACTTTCATTGATTTCAATTTTCCCAAAAATGCCATCCCTCTATAAACGCGTGTAGAAATACGAGTTCTGCAGATAGAGAACTGCTGGGCTCTGATGATATCTAACCACCTCTTCTTAATTCCTGCTTTTCACAGCTAGCGTCCCTTTGAACCTCATCTTAGTGTTCCTCTCTCTAGGTTAGCCTTTCATCCGGGACCATGCTCCAACGCCGAATTGTGTTGGTTGTCAGCGTCAATCATCCTTCACTTAGAAACACAAGCTAGTGCAGCACTCAGTAGGAGAAGGAATGTATCGATACAAGATAGGTTATATAAGTGTAGGGAACGTAGAGTATCAACAAAGATGGTGGATAACGGGGGGCCAAAAGGGATTGTTGGATACTTCATTATTGTAAGTCCGGGAGATGGTACTATATCCACTGGATGCGTCTTCTCAAACGTGTTTGAATCCCCATTCTGGTTTGCAAGGTAAAGAAAGAAGGAGACTCGCCGAGAACACAGCACTACAAAGCGCCCAATTCTTTTTTGGGCTTCCCGCCAAATCCGCTCTTGTACGCCACTACAACGATTCGCTTCATGAACGCCTGACGCATGGCCTACGCTAAGAATCACGTCCATTGTCAAGAAATTTACTGATATTGGTCGTTAACCCTACCTACACTACCTACACTCTCTCCTCCTCCCCCGCCTGGGCCCGGTGTCAAGAGAGAGTCATGAAGACCGGAGACGAGAAAGGCCGCAGGTAGACGGCTCGGACGGATCCTCACCTTGGCGCTCCACACCGCACCCTATGGTCCATACAACAAATGACCAGGATTTTGACCAGAAAACAATAAGAATATGGCAGAGATCCAGTTGCGCGATGACCGTCGACAACCGGGACTGCCAGCGCACACCCTTATGTTGGCATTTGTTATTGCGCACAGATAACCCCTGCCAGAATCCGGTGTGGCCCCCGTGTTGGTCCAGTGCATCTAACACGTGACCCGTTTGGAGGGCACATCACACACACACACACACACACGACGACAGTTCGTCCGTCGATTTCGACGATAACCACCGTGTGCCCCACAGACTGCATTGTGGGAGCAGGAACGGTGACTTACGCAGGGGTTTATAGTGCCAGTAAACTTGCGTAGCATCTACCTACACTCTCTCCTCCTCCCCCGCCTGGGCCCAGTGTCAAGACAGAGTCAAGAAGAGCGGAGCCGAGAGAGGCCGTTGGTGGATGGCTCGGACGGATCCTCACCTTGGCGCTACACACCGCACCCTCTGGTCCATACAACAAATGACCAGGATTTTGACCAGAAAACAATAAGAAGATGGCAGAGATCCAGTTGCGCGATGACCGTCGACAACAGGGACTGCCAGCGCACACCTTTATGTTGGCATTTGTTATTGCGCAAAGATAACGCCTGCCAGAGTCCGATGTAGCCCCCGTGTTGGTCCAGCGCATCTAACACGTGGCCCGTTTTGAGGAAACACACACACACACAAATGAGGGCGCGGTCTTCAACGATACGGCGCTCAACACACTGCATAGTATCCTCTACTCACACAGCTGCAAAGGCAATCTGACGTTATTACTGACCAAGTTAAGACCACCACCATATCTACTAGACAATGCGTTGCAGTTCTCAACCCCTAGGTTAACGACAGCCGCCTGTATAATTCTCATTGACAACACATATTCCCGCAGACGGCGAGTGTCGTACAGCAACAGAAAGCCATCAGCTAAAAAGAACCTATCGCCTATTGTAGCATCGAGAGAGAACGAAAGCATAACTAGATTCGAAAATTTACTCGCTTGGGGTCATTCCTCCAACATGTTTTTCAGCTGACAGAACGCAAAAAAAGATTGAACCGAAGGTGTGTTTTTGTCTTGATGCCTTCTTATTTCACAGTGCGCGAACACCACTCCAATTTTCACATAACAAGTCTCACACAACCATCCTCCCTCCCCCCTCTTAGGCCAGCTGTCTTTCTTTTACAGCAATACACTGAGGGTTAAGACGTGAAACTGCTTGTGTGAGGGGGCCAAATAACTGGTTGAAACTAGGTTTGCCAGCGGTTTGTGGGTAAATGCTGAAGCCTTAGCAATGAGCAAGCTAAATTTGGCCATGTTTGAACATAACTACGACGTAGCACGCATTTGCAGTTACGTTATACGGCCTATCGGTGGGAAATAACGTCTGAAAGTATAACCACTATATGCCCTAATTCGGTCTATTTACCAGATCCGGGATTCAGTTCATTTTACGTACAGCTTTCGCTGAAGACTGACTTATTATCCACTACTCGCGGATACACTAAGGAGGCTGTGACCAGGTCGGTCTCTAAGGCCAGTCTACCTGGGCTT